ACCCTGGGATCATGACCTGAGCCGAAGGCAGACGCTTAACGACTGAGCCACCCAGGCGCCCCTTAAGCATTTATTTTTTTTTAATTTTAAGTAAAAAAATTTATTTTATTTTAGAGCACGAGTGGGGGGAGGGGCAGAGGGAGAGGGAGAATCCCAAGCGGACTCCATGCTGAATGCGGAGCCCGACATGGGGCTTGATCCCAGGACCCTGAGATCATGACCTGAGCCGAAATCCAGAGTTGGATGCTTAGCCACCTGAGCCACCCAGGCATCCTACATCTTTAAGCATTTCTGCTTGTATGTGCATAAAAGAGCTGTGGCGGCCTATACCTCAAGAAACCCCCATATTGTTGGTTTTGGGGAGCTTGGTGGCTAGAGAACAGTGATGGTGGGAGATGAGTTCTGTGTGTGTGTGTGTGTGTGTGTGTTTGCACCTTTGGGATACTGAACCATGTGACTGTATTATATTACCTGTTCTTTAGAGAGGCAGTTGGGGGCTGTGGGCTCCATCAGGAGGGGCCCACCGGCACCCCACCTGGTCACACCCATATGCTTGGGCTTCAGGTGCGGCGGCAGCACATGGAACGTTGTACCAGCTTTCTGGTGGATGAGCTGGGCGTGGTGGATCGAGGCCAGGCTGGAGACCGCATCTTCTTTGTGTCTGCCAAGGAGGTGCTCAACGCCAGGATCCAGAAGGCCCAGGGCATGCCTGAAGGAGGTGACTTGGAACAAACTTCCTTCTTCCTTTTCCCTGATGTGTGAGACAGTTGGTTTGTGCTAAGTCAGCCGGTAGAAGATCGTTCTGAGAATGAGGTGGTAAGAAGAGCCATGAGTGAGAGTGTTAAGCCCGGTGCCCGGTGGGATTGGCTTCGGGGGATTTCACCATTTTCCTCTGCTGTGCAGTTATTTCCCAACTCACGTGGTGCAATTCTCCTAGGGGGCGCTCTTGCAGAAGGCTTTCAAGTGCGGATGTTTGAGTTTCAGAATTTTGAGAGGCGATTTGAGGTGAGCCCTTTGATTCCGGTATCTGGTTATTTTGTGGCTCCCCAGCACCCACCAGCCATGTCCCTGGCAGTGAATGCCAGAGCCTGGCCCGTGGCTCGTGGGCCCTGGTGGCCCCTGCCCCCTCAGCACCTCTTATCGGTTCCAGGAGTGCATCTCCCAGTCTGCGGTGAAGACCAAATTTGAGCAGCACACAGTCCGGGCCAAGCAGATTGCCGAAGCGGTTCGTTTCATCATGGACTCCCTGCACATTGCGGCACAGGAGCAGCGGTGAGAGCCTGCAGCTGTGCTGGCAGAGCCGAGTGTCGGGGCCGCCCCCAGGCCCAGTTAGGTCCACGTGGAGTAGCCTGGGGGGGACGGCCGTCGGGGGTCTGGTTGTCCTCTGTGTGTCGGGGCCGCCCCCAGGCCCAGTTAGGTCCACGTGGAGTAGCCTGGGGGG